ATGATGATAATGATGGTGAATGAACAGAGATAGCTGTAATTTAGACAAAGAAATCACTACACCCTAGTTTACTTTCTGTGATGTTAATGCTGTTAGCCTATGCAGCTCTTACATCTTTATTTAACTCAGCGCACGCGGCCTTTCAGGGGGCATTTAGTCGGAAGTTGACAATCTCCGTGTAAGTCAGAGTTTCGCTGGTACCACCGAGCTCCAGTGGCTATACGAATTAATCTATTTTGGACGACTTGGATGTCGTACAAATGATTATGGCTTACGTGCGCGAAAACTACGCTTGCGTAAGACATGATTAGATTTTACGCACGCTTTATAAAGATGGAGTTTGTGTCGTAAGGACAGTTTGCTCCTGCTGTTCGCTAGGGGGTGTAGGCGACTAGTGACAAATTTGACACGGTTGCGGACATTAAGAATGTGTTTCGCGAATATCATACCGTGATCGAATATGGCCCCTAGATATTTGGCCGATGACTGAAAGGGGATGTGGCAGCCGTAAAGGTTAATCATACTGAACTTTTTCTTGAGGTTTCTGATTTGACGATTGAAAGTGGAGATCCTTTGAAAGCGTATTGCTACATTTTTCTCAGGATTCACTTCGATTCTCCATAAGCGGAACCAATCACTTAGGCGGTTGACGTCTGTTTAGAGCATCTTGGGGAGGTATCTTGTATTGGGATGAGCGACGAAAAGTGCCGTGTCATCTGCGAAAAGTGCTGTATTCAATACTGGGTGCTTTGGGATGTCACTCGTGAAGAGTGTGAAGAGTAGTGGGGAGAGAACGGAGCCTTGTGGGACTCCAGCCTTGAGGGGACGCTTTGTAGAGCGAGTACCCTTTATTCGATAGCGAAAATGGCGATTGGCAAGAAAGGCTCTGACGACGAGCCTATCAGGTACGTTGAGTTTAGACAGCTTGTAAAGCAAGCCGTCATGCCAGACTTTGTCAAACCCTTTTGCAACATCAAGGAAGATAGCACCGGTTATGGTGGCTTTTTTTATAGAAGAGGAGGCAAATGAGCTTACAGCTCATCTGATGGTAAGTGACTATCGCCGCCCATGAACAACCGCAACACCAGGGGAATTGCAGATGCGTTGCCAGCCTTTTAGAAAGGCGTAAGCTTTTTTCTTGAAGGTCCTTAAGTCGTATCGGTCCGGAAAAATTGCCGGTGGTAAACAATTCCACAGAGAAGTTATACAAGGAAGGAAACTCCCAGTAAAGTGCACAGTCATAGACTGCCAAGCATCCAGATGGTGAGGATGGTATCGTAAATTTTGACACGATATGCGTTCGTTAAATTTGGCGGCTCGAATTAATCCGAACAATTCCTCAGAGCGCCTTTAACCTTTTTTTTGAGAAAGGGGACAGATGGATACAATTTTAAGTATAACTACCACGTGCTTGGCGGCGATGGAAAACTCCGTGACAAAACCTACATGTCTGAAAAAATAAATCTGAAAGACATTTTTTTTTCTTAAAACTCACTGACACCGCATGGGTCATTATTTGCTTTACAACCTTTAAGAAATGAAAAGAGGCCTGTATCCAAAAGTTGGACTTAATCAGTGTCTTTACATTTCGTTTTGTCACATTACAATTTGCTATAATTAATTACCGTTGTTACCGTTATATTAAAGTCCACTTCTCAACATCGGCCTCCCCCTTACATTTCCTCATATAGGGGATAGTTGCCATAGTTATCACGCTTGGTAAGCGGGTTGGCAACTGCAGTTTTTTATATTTTAAGTCGTTATTATGAAGACGCTGCTGTCCATCTCCTGATATGTTTCTCCCTGGCGCCTTTTACGACACCCACACGCGAACACACGTACGTTCTTCGACCGCCACTACACGGTACTAATAGAAAGTACATAATTTACAATAGCGTCATAATACACCTCACACTAGCTGCATCTGGGATGCTTCTAGAAAAGCTCGGAAGTTACATACCTCGGAAAGCATGTAAAGGCGTTTGTCCGGTCTATCCGCTCGTGTTGGATTAGGCATCTGTGCTTGCGCATACAATCGGACACTATAATCCTGTCCTGCGCTGATGGATTGGCGACTGGCCGCCGGGACTGAAATTTAATCCGGAGAACATTATCGTCTGTGCGCTCACCAATAAGGTTGCACAGCGTGTAAAAGTAAGAAAAAATGACAAACAGCGAACAAACTTCTTGCAATCTGTTACAAATGTTTTTTTTTTATCTCGTAATCTAAATATAAAAAAAAATATTGGTTACAAGTCGAAAGGGAGTAAGAGAACGGAATTTTTTTTAAGACATACCACCCACTGTTGGGCTTCCTCTAATTTCTGACAGGGTCTTAGGACAGGATAGGTCTTACAGAATACCAGCGTAAAGTAGCAGCTTAATGCTGTTATGTTTCGTATGGTGAGCGTAGAGAACTAGAGACCGTTTCTACTGGAAACGAGGCATTCTATCTTAGTATTGGTCTTGATCTCGTCTTATTCTATAAAAAAGGACAAGTAAATGTCTACCGTGCTGCCAATGCGGGTTGAAAGAGTTCTATTTTTATAGGATAAGTGTGACAAATGAGCACACAGTCCACCCAATGGTAAGTGGTAGCTGCGGCCCATAGACATCTACATCTGTCTTCGATTATGAATCAAAATGCAGATGCGTTGTCACCCGTGAGGACTAACAAGATGAAATGCCTCGTTTCCAGTAATCCGGTTCTTTACACTCACCATACGAAACACAGCAGCGTTAAGCTGCTATTTTACGCTGGTATTCTGTGAAAGCGTGGTCCTTTCCCGGTGGAGCCGACCCATTCGTGCTACAAGCATATCGTAGCTGCAGCCTGGATCTACCACGTAAAACTTGTCATGCCTTTGAAATTTTTTTTATATCAATAATATTACTGCAACTAACAATTTTACTGGTACCTTATTTGAGACCGGGCTTCTTGCGTACTGTAGATTTTGCAGCAAGCGCTTATCCCCTGAATTACCATGACTGTGATCGGAGCTTTACTTGTAGCGACATTTTTAAAAAAATAAAGTTGACAGACGAACATATAGTCCACCTGATGACAAGTGGATGCTGTGGCCCGTAGATATCTACATTTATTCTCCGGATGCGTTGTTACCTCTAAGGGCTAGGATGAAATGCCCTGTATCCAGTAAAAAGGGTCTTCGGTCTCTACAATCGCCATACGATACACAACAGCATTAAGTTGCTATTTTACGCTGGTATTATATGCGAGCGTGGTCCTTCCCCGGTCGAGCCGACAGATTCATGCTTCAATCATAATATAGCAACATGGTTTACCATGTTCTTTATTTTTTTGAAGCGGATGCAAGATACATTAACCAATTGCCATGCTAATTGAGGATATATTATGCGTTGCGTACATGTTGTAGTCAATATTTGTAATCAGACAGTATTCAAAACAATCACTGATATTTACAATGGAATTGATTTTCATCTTATTTCAATTTTTGAGACATATCAATGGAAAGTATTTGAAATAAGGGTGTTTGCTGAAAATACTAAATGATGATGACGTATAGTCGAGTAATTTTTACTGTAAAAATAACAATATTATACAGTCAGTATTTATATAACATTAAAATTATCTCTTTGTGTATTCTACCGTATCTACCACGGGGAGTGCCCAGAGAAATTGTTCGAAATGATTTCAGCCGCTTAATTTCACCATCGCACATCGCGACAAAATTCGAGATACCATCCACGCGATCTGGATGACTGGCGGTCCACCAATGCACTGTGCGATTTACAAGAAGTTATCTTCATCGCACAACTTTCTTGTGGAATCGACCACCACCAGCGATTTTTCTGGACTGATACGACTTAGGAACCTTCAAGAATATTATTTGCAATTCCCTGGTGTTGCAGTAGTTCATGGGTGGCGGTAGTCACTTACCATTAAGTGATCCGTATGCTCGTTTGTCCTCTGCTATATAAAAAAAATATTTAACTTACTTAATTTTTACCTAACACGTAACCTTACAGTTCACCTGATGGTAAATGGGTATTACAGCCCATGCACATGTGTGATAAAATTAAGATAAAAAATCAACAGATTTGTTGTCTCTGTTAACTAAGATAGATCGCCTTACAATGTCAAAAAAATAATAATCAGCTTCCTATAACTTTCAGGCTGGGACACGACAGTGCTTCCACTGCTTCTTGGGGCAAATTAAAGTTTGAGAAGGGGGTGGTAACCCAACCGCCTAAAAGGAGTTCTAGAGACTGTTTAAAACTGTAAACTACTATGTAACGACATACTAATAGATCTTATTAAAGCGAAACTAGTTTAGATCGTAAATACGTAAGATAAATAATCTATTATTATTCCTTTTTTATTCCTTTTTAAAAACGTTTCCTTTAAACTAGGATTTTCTCCTATATAGTGGGGGCAGTTTACATACATAAATTTCACAAGGACAAACATCCAGGCCCGGAACAATTATTTGTAGGCCATACAAATACTTGTTCCGTGCGGGACTCAAATCCGCGGCACTCAGCGCCGCAACTCAATGATAAGTCACTGCGTCATAGAGCCGTCGATGATTATTTAGTTATATAATAAATATTTAGTAAACAGTCTCATAACTCACACAACGTAAAAAATAAACATATTATTGAAGTTTTACTGCAACCAAAACCTGGAATTAATATTAAATTCGGAAGTTTTGGAAAAAGTCTGAAATCAGTCTGTCACTGCCATTCACGCAGACTTAGTCAGCACGGGAACGTCCACCGCTGGTCAACACCAAACCACGCGACTCACACAAACAAGATCACATACACGCCTCAGTGCGTTACGATACGATGCAAAGATTGCACGCTCTGAAAGATTTATAGATAAATGCAGTTCCCGGTGAAAATAGATAAATGCCAGTGCTCATGTATTTTCTACACATTTCAATAGGCGCAACCACTAAGGCTGGACATTGGTCCAGCATTGACATTTAACGGACGAACGCGGTTATTAATTCAAAATGCAGTACCGCGGGAGTATTCTCCTGTGCTTGTGTGTTGTTCTTGCTGCAGCTTCGGCTGACACCTTCGGTGCCGGTCTTAAGCTCCTGGGGAAGATGTACAGCAACTGTGAAGGGTCGCAAGAGATGCTCAAGTGCTTCAAGATCCAAGCCGCGAAGTTAGCAGACCGAGCTGCGCGTATGGATTCCTTACCGCTCATCGATGGTGTTTCCTTAGTTAGAAGACAGGAGCAAAATCGCGCTTATCCGTCTTCTCTACCAGAAGGTGATCTGAATGCGCTGACGTCAGATGAAGTCGACAAGTGTCTTCAACAGGCTGCAACAAAGCTCTTGCAGACACATCGAGTAATTATATCTCCTGAAAATATAGGCGATGATGTTGGACGTTCTTTAAGTCAAGCAAGGGCCAAACTGAAGAAAATGGTTGGGCCCATTATGGCCGGCCTCGCAATTAAGGGTGGCTTCCTCGCCATGGCCTTCCAAGTGATTGCTCTCATAGCTGGTAAGGCTCTGCTCATCGGTAAGGTTGCACTATTATTGTCAGCGATAATCGGATTGAAAAAATTGGTTTCTGGTGTTGAGAGTCATGAAAAGACAACGTATGAAATAGTTAAGCACCCGCAAGTGTCCCAAAGCCACACTTTTTCATCATCTCATTACGGAAACGATTTCGATACTACCGGCTCTGGAGGTCATTACAGGAGGAGCGTAGAAGACGAAGCAGCCGCTCAAGATAGAGCGTACAGAGCCTACGCTAAAAAAGAACAGGCCTGAAGAGAGATTATAACGGCTTACGACTCCTTAAAAAATTAATAACGACAACTTGGCATTTTGAAATTGCTGTGCATGAGACAGCGATGCGAGTGCTGGCAGTTTTGTATCGACATGAAGAAGACAAGATATAAGACATATTCACTAACTTATTTAAAATTATTTAAAACGACACTTATAATTTATTTGAGATAAGAATATTTATTCGTTTAAGTTTTATTGTTATTGTTACATTTGCATAACTCACATAAACGCACTGACACGGTTATAAGTAAAATGTAAATAATTAAGTAAAATAGTTTTTATTAATATACGGTATTGTTAATGGAATGAATTTTATGTAGAATAAAACTCGTATATGTACTTATATAGATAAAAATATATTAATAAAAAAAATATTATGTAATTAAATATATATAATATATGATTTACGATTAGGCTAGCCGACGGGTACTGTGCATTTCTACGTCTTTGTGTTCTCTTGTCCAATTTTGTAAAAATAGTCTAAGAACTTATTTTAGAATTAGGTAATGGTGCTGTTGAGGGTTAAATACTCTAATGATAAGTAATGTAATAACTTATAAATATTTATTATTTAATATGAAGTATCCAATGATCTTGCTTAATGTGTTAAGGTGGTTACGCGAGTACCTTTTAAACATTGTGTTATCTATAAAAATAATATTTTAGTATGTTATGTTTATTATAATGTTTGATGATGAAAATATCCTTAGCATTGAAAACAGTTATAAAATAATAATTTTATAAAGCGTTATTCCACCTGCGTTATTGTTTTATTTTATAACACTTTAACAGGTCAGTAATATTTAATAAAATTTAATTAAATTATCGTAATAACTTAATTGTTTAATCTTTTTATGTCCCTTGTATATATGGAGGTCCTGGGTTCGACTCCCGGGTCAGACCAAAAACGTTTATAAGTTTTTCTGACAAGAAATTCTCCGAAGCATCCCGGAGTCAGTTGTCAGTGTTTCACACCGGGAAAGTACGTAAAGCCATTGGTGCTGCACGTGATCTCTGTCCGGTCGTGTCGGTTTGGGTGCCCCATCAGCCTATAAAAGTGAGAGAATAGAGAGTGCACCTGTGCTAGTGATTACACTGGAGTTCTCTAATACTGGCTAGTCTTTTTTTTATAGGATAGGGTGACAAACGAGCACACAGTCCACCTGATGGTATGTGGTTGCTGTGGCCGGTAGACATCTACAACTATCTTCGTTTGCGAATCAAAATGCAGATGCGTTGTCACCCGTGAGGGCTAAGCTAGAATGCCTCTTTTCCAGTAAAAAGGGTCTCCGGTTCTCTACACTCACCATACGAAACACAGCAGTGTTAAGCTGCTATTTTACGCTGGTATTCTGTGAGAGCGTGGTCCTTCCCCGGTCGAGCCGACCCATTCTTGCTACAGCTATACTACTAATATTAGCTGCAGCATGGCTCTACCACGTTGAGACTGGCCGTCATGACCGAAATTCGGTCTGACATAATCATTATATATGTGCATTCATTATATCTCACAATATTATTACAGCCCATTACAAATCCACTTTGAATATAGACCTCCACCATATATTGTCACAAAGTACGCCCCTGAAACAGGTACACGTATGTACCGTACGTATGTAGGAGGTAGAGCCATTTTGCAGCTATATTCGTTGTAGCACGAATGGGTCGGCTCGACTGGCGAAGGACCACGCTCTCACAGAACGCCAGCGTAAAATAACAGCTTAATGCTGCTGTGTTTTATATGGTGATTGTAGAGAATCGTGGATCTTTTTACTGGATACAAGGCACTTTTAGGGGTGACAATGCATCTGAATATTAATTCTAAATCGATGATAAAAGTAGATGTTTATGGGCCACAATATTCACTTACCACTAGGTGGACACTGTGTTCGTTTGTAACCCTTATTATATATATATATATATATATATATATATACCCTTAGGCATATAATAATAATAAAACACCTGCATTCATTGATTAGCTGCTTGTTTTATTAGATCGTCACTCCATTTAGTGCGGGATTGCTTAACACGGGGCCAAGCATAAACTTACCATCAGGTGGACCGTGTGCTCGTTCCTCACCCTTATTCTATAGAAAAAAACGGATGACAATACAATAATTTCGTGTCGTGATATCCTTACTATGATCATTGTGCTCATGATGCGTGATCAATGCCTGTTGTTTTGGTTTTCCAAAACCTTATATAATTAAACTAACAATAACGAAAACACAATGATATATTCGTTATGATTTTTTGTATTATGCTTCATTGTCGCGTGTCTTTCAGATTATACGGTGATATGAATACGGAAGAGAAATAATGTGTATAATTACATAATTAATGTCGAATTAACAGTATATCGGTTTACCACATTCTGTACGTTTTCCAACTTTTTTGTACCGCAAGATTTCTAGCGGTGGACAACCAATTATTTTTTTACGATTAAAATCATGAAGAGCTAGGATATGAGTGGCAGAATTGGTGTAAGAAAATCCATTACCCCATATCAACCCGTGGCAGTTGTAAGTAGCGATAGAGGGAAACAAATCAGGAGATGGGCAGCAGCGACTTCCTAATAACGACTAAAAATTAAAAAAAAAAAACTGTCGTTGCCAACCCGCTCGCCAAGCGTGTCAGCTATGGCAAACATCCCCCGTATGATTCAATCTATGGGTGAGGCCTATATTCAGAAGTGAATTTTAGTAGACTGTAACTTTAATAATAACGACCTTAAACGGAAGTTTATCAATAAAATTGATGATATATTAAGATAGGCCATATTAAAAGTTTTTTTTAAAAGAATGGTTTTTTTTTATAGGATAAGGGTGACAAACGAGCACACAGTCCACCTGATGGTAAGTGGTTGCTGCGGCCCATAGACATCTACATCTATCCTCTATTACAAATCAAAATGCAGATGCGTTGTCACCCGTGAGGACTAAGATGGAATGCCTCATTTCCAGTGCAGGTGGCCGTAGGCCTAAAAAGGGCCTACGGCCACCTGCACTCACCAAGCGAAACGCTGAGGTAAACCTCTACTTCACGCTGGTATTCTGTGAGGTCGTGGTACTACACCAGTTCGAACCGGCCCATCCGTGCGACAGCAAAAGCTGCCGCGTGGCTCTACCACCGTTAAATGGTGTTGACAAATGAGCACACAGTCCAGATGATGGTAAGTGTATGCTGTAACTCATAGACATCTACATTTAGTTTCGATTAAGAATCAAACTGCAGACGCGTTGTCACCCATGAGGACTACGATGGAATGCCTCGTTTCCAGTAAAATAATCTCCGGTTCTCTACACTCACAGCATCAAACATAGCAGCATTAAACTATTATGTTACGCTGGTATTCTGTGAGAGCGTGGTCCTTTCCTGGTCGAACCGACCCATTCGTGCTACACCATAATATATCTGCAATATATCTACCATGTAAAATAATATAACATTATATAATAATAATAGTCCATAACTGATGAGCATGTAGTCAGGATTGAGCCAAATCGAAGACTGCGGTCTCTGCTTTCCTCACTGGGTGACAGAGGTGAACGTTTATGAGCTAGCAGTACAAGTTACTCAACTCAACAGAGTCCGTAATTTGTTCATGGGAAAACTTCAACTTTACTTTAAAATATTAAAGTTGTCAATTGTAATATAAAGGTGTTTATGGATGACAATATTTATAAATCATTCCTGGAAATGAGGTCGCGTTCAAGCTCTTTCTAATATGATCTGTATACTTGATTGTACAGCATTTTACAAGTCGTTATCTTTTTAAATGTCCCGTTGAGTTTCTTACTGGTTCGGAAAATACTGTCATACCAGACAGAAGGAATCAGTGGTTCTCGAAGTTCTTGAGAGTTATATGGAATCGTCGCCCCACAACTAGATATAAAAGTTAATATTTTTGAACGCAGAGAAAGCATTAAATTTTCTCCTTGCTAACAACACATGCGTGACTATTGTCATATGGTTCTAGCTGAACGACGCATTGAATGAATTATTTCTACCATTCAACATCTTTACACGTGATGTCATAATTAATATTGCTCCTACTAATTGTTAGAAATTAGTTACTTCTGAAAAGACGCGACTTAATAATCCTTCACAATCAAAGCAGATTTCTATTTTCGTGCACGTTAATTAACTACCAACGAGAAATAACAACTTAATGCTACTTTGTTTTCTATGGTGAGTGTAGAGAATCAGAGACCCTGTTTGCTAGAAACGAGGCATTTCTTCTTAGTCCTCAGGGGTGAAAATGCATCTTCCTTTTGATTCATAATCGAAGACAGATGTATATATCTTTTTTTTTAACATGGGAAATGCCTACGCATACCCGCCTCGCGGGGACAAGGACGGGTTATGTCGGACTCGCACTGACTAAAACCCCATGGTGTTCCACATTCGCCGCATATTGGCAGGACCACGGGAACGCTTTCGCACACATCAGCAGCCCCACCAGCGGCCGCCCCATGGCAGCCCCTTCTCGGGGGAGGACTTCTCCTCCCCACTTTCCCTCTCAGGCAAGGCGCACCGGGAAGACATGGCACGCCCCCCTCCTCGGCCTGCAACTCCACCTGCGTATCGGACCACCCCCTCCCCCGCGTTTGATACGCGGAGGCCATGGGGCCAGGAAAATCGAGCGCTTGTAGCACCCGCTATCCCGACCCTAGCTGTGGATCTGGCCTTTGGCTTCGCCGCCAACCAAGTTTCGGCCGCGGAGGGTAGGGAGAGCGGCGCCTCGCAATACCGACACTCCTCTCCCCCCGTGGCCCCACCACCACCGCATCAACGGTGAGGCCCCGTCTGAGTCGCGGAGGATAGGGCGAGTGGCGCATCGCCATACCAACGCTCCTCTTCCTCCGCGACTTCACCTCGGCTGCAGTGGTAGGGGGAGAGAACACCCCTCTCACCGCAGCCCACTGACACACATCCGAAGTGGGCTCGCCAAGCCCACTCGGAGTGGCCACCTT